GGGCCAAGCCTAAAAACAAAGCCTGTCCCATGTACTCGCATTTTATTGGCAAGAAATTGACCAGCAGGCCTTATGTAATTTCAAGGGATACTGAAAAACATAAATGAAGAGAACATTAGGAAATTAGGCTGAGCTCTATGCCCAGAGGAAGAGGAGATGGGGTCAGGTGGAATTCCCATCGCTATCCTGACAGTCCTACTCCTCCCCTCTGGTGTCCATGGTATGCTAATAGCATTTGTATGGAGGAAAAATAAATGGACCGGACATGGGTGTTATATGCAATCTCTTTGCTGCTTCTATAACTCTGAATATGTCACATTACTTATTCTCAATCTCCACTTCAGTGGAATGGGGGGCTAAACTAGCCACTTCCATCCCTACTCTGCCATTGAAGACATGCCACCCAACATGCTACGTGGATAAAAAGAAGGTTGTTTTGGCCAGAGGCAGGAGAGGGAGTGGGAATCCTATCTCCTTCACTTCCTAGGGTGGCATTTAAAAGACCTTTTAGGCTGCAAGTCCCTACAAAGCAAACTTGTAAAACCGATCTTTACATCCCAATGGGTCATCCCTAACTGATAATGCTCAGGCCTCTGATTAGTACAAGCAACCCTTGAACTGATGAACCCTTCTATCAAAACCCCAACCCTAGGACTGGATATCTATCCCAGAGCCTAGTGTCTACCACTGAGCTACACTAGGCTTTCACCAAAACCTTTGATCACCTATCTAGGGAGTGGAAAAGTGCAGTGGTTATTAAGCCTGTGGTATAAAAAGCTAGGTGTAAATCTTGGATCTGCTACTGGATAACCAAGGGCTTGGATTTTGAGCAAGTTTTCATTTCTAGTTCTATGAAAACTGGGGGAAATAATCTCAAAACCTTGCCACACCTCCCCCATATGCTTGCATTCCTTCTCTTTAACACATAACACTTTACAATATCTCAATAAGCTATTTACCATCCTGCTTGGTGCATCTCCCCATTAGAACGACAGCTCCCTAAAGCAGCTACTTTTGTCTGTTTTCTTCCTTGATGTGTACCTAGCACCTGTTTCCCTGACGGTCACAGATCATCACTCGGTAAATATTTGTTAAATGACAGATACCCTTAAAGCAGCCTGAATGGGGTGAGGAACATTGCAAGCATTTAGAAAATGTTGATTGGTACAATTTTTATGACGTGTTATAAAATATAAATAATGGTGCTGTGCTGGAAAAGATCAAATATCAAGCTTGGTGGTATACGCGTGTAATCCCAGCATTCAGGAGGGTGAGGACTGTGTGTGTGTGTGTGTGTGTGTGTGTGTGTGTGTGTGTGTGTGTGTGTGTGTGTGTGGCCAGCCTAGGCTACATGAAGAATGTCAAAGAGAGCCTGGGAGAGGATAAAGGCAGAGAAGGGAATGGAGGGGGGTTAGTGAGGAAAACAGAGGAAGAGTTAGGAGAGAGTAAAACGACAGACGCTGTTCCCACCTTTGTGAACTTTTTAGTCTGGAAGGGAAACGAATATAAGATGAAGAGCAAAAAACTATAAATTGTGGTGAGTGTCCCAAAAGTTTAGGGTGCTATCAAAGGATACAACAGAAAGATATCATTATTTTCAAGGTGTAGGGAGTGTTCAGAACTAGCTTCTCTGTGAGGAAAATGTTTCATCTGAGATCTGACAGGTGAACAGCAGTGAGTCAGGCATGGAGGGACAGCATTCCAGGCGTGGGGGCAGCCTGAGTCAGGGAGGTACATGGAGTTTCTGAGATCAGAAGGAAAAGCAGCTAGGCAGAGCTCAGCCGGAGGGCACAGGACTGCCTCATTCCAGAAGGGTTGAGTCTAATCAGCGATGGGTCCTATAGGCCAGGATGTGACTTTAAGCAGAGGAGTGATGTCATTGTGGTCCCAAAACCTGGAGAACAGCTAGGCCAGGACAAGCTGCGGCAGCCTCTGAGGCACACTGCACAGCCTGCACCATGCTCCTCTCTCTCTGTCGTTTGTTTTCCCCAGTCTTAGACTGCTTAGGCAAGTGTTTCCTTCTTGGTGTTTGCTAATCAAGGTATACTATTTGATCTGGAAACCGCAGGTCTTTCTAACAGCCGATAAAAGAATTGCAGTCACAAGAATGTGGCCCCTTTCCCTTGCAGGTGCACAAAAGCAGACACTCTCCACATTCTAAATCTGACTTTGAAAACACTTCCTCTGCCAAGGTGTTTTCTAAGACGCCTGAACTTTGGAGAAGGTGTTTCTGCTCTGGAACCGTGGCTTTTAACCTCTGAGATGTCTCCATTGCTAATTGTTTGCCCTAATGGGGAAAAGTTAAAATCACATTTGTTTTCTATTGTGTTTTATTATGTGTGTATGTGTGTGCGTGCCTGTGTGTGTGTGTGTGTGTGTGTGTGTGTGTGTGTGTGTGTGTGCTGTGTAGGCATTTGCAGATGTGTGTGCAGAGGACAGAGACAGGAATCTGATTCCTTAGGAGCTGGTGTTATAGGCACTTGTTAGCCTGATGTGGCTCTGGTCTTTTGCAAGAGCAGTACCTGCTCTTAACCCCTGAGCCGCCTCTCCAGACCTGACGTTTGTTTTCTAATTCAACAGGGGCATATGAAATTTCTTCCTTAAGCCTGGAGGAGACCACAAACCCTCTCTTCTTCTTTATAAGAAAATATATCCTTTTGTAGTTATATTTGTTTGTTTCTGTTTTTTTGATACAGGGTCTCATGCAGCCCAGGTTGGCCTTAAAAATCGTCGTATAGCTGAGGATGACTTTGAACTACCGATCTTCTTGCCTCCACTTCCCAAATCCAGGCTAGCAGTTGTAGCCACCATGCTTGACCTACCTGTGCTTTGGTGCTTTGGCTCGTTTGAGCTTTGGCAAGGGCAGGTGTGAGGCACACTGCCTGCTTACATCCGGATGCAGGTGGCAGAGATGACCGAACTGGGAATCGATTGGGATCAAGGGAGATCCTGGAGGAGGTAGGGTCGACAGGACCTGGTAAAGACCGAATGTGGTAATGAGTGGGCAGCTGAAGGATGGACCCTGGGGGCCTCTGCACGGACAACGCGGCGGATTACCCATGCAAAGAAGTGGCAGACAGAACGCCCTTGGAAGCTGCTTCACCCCACAGCATCCGGAGGCGCCTGGGTGAAACTTAAAGTTCAGGGTTATGGCTGAACGGCCCTGCAGAAGTGAGGGGGTGGGTGAGGACGATGTGGGCTCTCGATGACTCAGAGCTGGATTTTCCTCTGTAGTCATGCCTGATGATGGACTGGCATATAAGGGGCAGACAAGCCCCATTCCAGTCCGCATAGATAGATAGCATCACTGCAGGAGCTCCGTCAGTTGTCTGTGCTAGATGCTGGGAGCTGGGGGTGGTGGGAGGGTGGTGGCACGTTTCAGATCACATGGAGACTGTGACATCAGGTTGTCTGGGAGAAGGGAGGATCAGGCTGTATAGCTAAGGAGAAATGTGCAATGGGATGAAGATGCAAACAGATGGCCGCCGGACTGCATGTGAAAAGGGACCCTTGGGGGCTGGGAAGATAGCTCAGTTGGTACGGTGTTTGCTGCACAAACCCGAGGACTTGCATTCACTCCCCAGAGCTCGTGTAAAGAGCCACAAATGGTGACACACACACTTCTAGTCCTAGTACTAGTGAGGCAGACACAGGTAGATCCTTGGGGCTTGCTGGCTGGCATGTCTAGCTGCACTGTGGAGCCCCAGGACTCAGTGAGAAACCTTGCCTTAAAGACCAAGGTTGATGGCTCCTGAAGAATGACATTAGAGACTGACCTCTGACCTCTACAGGCTAGCACATAGATATGATTCTCTACCCTGCCTCCTGTTCTGGCCCACACTCTCCAACCACCTGTTTGGGACTTTATAGCTCAGCACCTATAAATCAGTCCTAAGGAGTGGAGATCTAATTAGTCACTTCAGCTACCTTTACCATTTAGGATTTTTTTTTATTAAGTGAAAACCAAATATGCACTCCTAGATAACCACATGGGGCACTCCACTTTTAGACAGCCTGTTCACAGTTTGCTTCATGTCCACAACTTCTAATCAGGGGTCCTATGAAGCCATTTCTTACAGGCCAGGCTTCCCAGTCTGCTTGCCTTTGAGTCTCTGCCAAATATAGATAGCCATTGCTGACTCTTTCCTATAGCAAGTTCTGAATAAACAGCATTTCTTGGTTCCCACTGGAATGACCTTTGATGCTATACACGACCTCTCATTGAAGCTGCCTTGCTAGAGAGCCGGAAAGCAGGGAATGCAGATGTGGGTCTTGATCTTGCTGTATTTCTCAGGTTGGCTCTGTAGAGGCAATGCAGCCACATCTAGCCGCCAGCCTAACGCTTGTAGTGTGGCAGAGAAGGATGAGCCATCTGCCATGACCCTCTCTGATAGGCAGCTCTGTTTCACGTGCAAACGTGCTCACTGTTCTGAAGTCATTTGCCAGCCACGGCTGCTGCTAGTGTATTTGTAGGGCCTGGAAATACGCAGTGTGACTTGCATGTTTTCAGAGCCCATTCGGGGCTGTCTCTGTAACGAGCATTCTTCCTGCCAGCCTGGTCCCAGAGCCGCATCAGTCCCAAATGAACACGTAGGACGCTATGTTAATTATGAAGCTGTGGGCCGTTTTCTATGGTTTCTTATTGGATAGTTCTGACTCAATTATTAACCCATAACTGCTAGTCTTACTCCTCTCGCATCCTACATGGTGACTGACTGTGACTCCGTTTCCCGGAATCCTCCACCTCTCCTAGTCCCACCTATCTTGCTTCCCTATTGGCCAACAGTGCTTTATATATCAACCAATAAGACAAACATACACACAGAAGGACTTCCTCCATCATGTCTGTTTTTTTTTTGTTTGTTTGTTTGTTTTTGTTTTTTCGAGACAGAGTTTCTCTGTGGCTTTGGAGGCTGTCCTGGAACTCGATTGGTAGTCCAGACTGGTCTCGAACTTACAGAGATCCTACTGCCTCTGCCTCCAGAGTGCTGGGATTAAAGGCTTGCGCCACCAATGCCCAGCTTTTTCTCCATCATGTCTGGAAAGGGGTCTCAGTCTGGTTTTGTCGCTCTCTGATTGTGTGGCCTTGAACAAGCCACCTGACTCATGGGAGGTCAGCGTCTTCCCGTGCTTATTTTTCAGCCATGTCCTCTATCAGCTGCAGCTGAATCTCCTTGACTACTTGATTCATATTCCTTTTCTAGGTTCTACCCCAGAACTAATGAATCTCAGCATGAATAGCCAGCTCCCAAGTGAGCTTTCTCATCAAAGTGTGAGAAACTCAGTGTCCTGCATCTCAGGCACTTGAGAGACTATAGTGATGATGGTCAAGGCCTAGGATCACTCCTCACTGAAGTCTTAAGAACAAACACATTCAAGGCAAAATGAAGAGTAATAAACACAGAAATCAAGGAGCAGAGAGCACTGTGGGAAGAGGGGTTGGGCTCCGTCGTGGGATTCTGAGAATCAGGTGTTATAGAGGCAGCTTGCAGTTGAGTCTCCAGGGAGAGGTAGAATTCCATTTATCATGTCCACTTGAGAGTGACCACGGGCCACAGGGCTGCTGTCTCTGTGTTGGCTGTGTAAAACTCATCCCAGTACTTATCGGTATAATACACCCACAGTTATTTTACATTCCTGAGTCCAGAGCAGCGCAGTGGTTTGATAAATTTGAGCTGCTTTACTCGAGTGCCTGTAGCTAGCAAGCAGGTCAGCTAGTGTATCTAGGACGGCCTCATTCATGATTCAAACCCAACGGAGTAGAACTCACAAGCCATCTTTTGAAATTACTCCCTTAAGCATTCATTGCCCACCTGCATGTCTGACCTCGTCATTATCAGTTGAAACCTTCTGGGATGTATTAACAGACAGACTAGCTCTCAGCAACAAAAGGCATGTCATCAGACAGCATCAGAGACCTATAACAGAGATTTTTCTCACTTTGCTATAACCCATCTTGTGGTTGGAATTTCCTTTGGGCTGCCAGCCAGGTCCCAAATAAAGACACGGAGACTTATTAATTATGAATGTTGTAATCCAGGCAAACCTGGCCCTTCCTCTCACCCACCTGCCAATCGCAGGTGTCTCTACTCTGGATGTTTAAAAGAAAGGCTCCACCCACTTCTACTCTCTTTCCCCGCTGTTCCCCTGGGGCAGACAGGACTTTTCCTGTCTCCTTCTCTTCTGTCCTCTCTCTGTCTCTGTCTCTGTGTGTCTCTTTACCTCTTTTCTCTTTCCTTCCCCTCTCCCTCCCCTTTCTAATAAAACTTCTCACTTATGCTCTGTCTGCCTGGCGTGTTTGTCCCTTGCCCACCACGGAATCCTCCAAGGTGCCCCACGTGCTCTATTTTAACATTGGTGCACGTGACTCAGCAGGTTTTCCTGGCATTTCCTCCTGCCTGTGGCAGTATGAGGTATGCCAGCACCAGGTGACCTTCAACTTGGTCACTTTTCCAACTAAGGATCTCTGGATTCTTCCATTCACTACCATCATGTCTGGTAAGCCCACCCCTTCCTCTCCTCTGCCCATGCTTCCATGAGTCAGGACTTGTATCTCGACCGTGGTCTCTCCTTTTTGGCCTGGTGAAAAACCCCAGTACTGGGTGACCGCTCGTTTCTTGGGCTCTGGGAACCCTGGCCCCTGCTTTTGTGCTTGAGGGGCCCCCAAAATCAGCCTATGCCTCTTGTATCCAGTTCCTCCTTTGTCTCTGGGATGCTGGAGATTACAGGCAGTGTGAAGTGATTGGGACCTCTGTTCCCACTATACTCTCTGTGAATTTGCCTCTATGTTTTCTGGGTGGTATTATTTTAGGTTTTTATCTTTCTTCTTTGCCTAACCCTTACCCTAACCCTAACCCTAACCCTGAACCAAGAATGGCCTTGAATTCCTGATCTCCTGCCTCTGCCTCCTAAGTACCGGGATTACAAGTGTGTGCTCGTCACAATATTGTTTTTATACCGCTGTTTGCTCTGGTATTTGTGGTCTCGATGTGTATAGTGACTGTCAGTCCCAAATCGCACCAGTCCTCCATGACAGCAAGGGACTTCCCCAGCATATGTTTTCTATGCAAACCAACTAGTACAGAGGTAATTGCCCTCTGACCCCTTACGCAAATCCATGGAGAACTGGGTACCAGATGAGAAGGAGCACCCCTCCCCCACACATGCCCACTAGGCCCCAAAGCCCATCAGTATTCCCGAAAGCTAGTGACCTTGTGCTGTCCACCATACCTGCTCACCTTCCTATAGAGGCCCCTCTCATGGCTCTGGCCATAAACTTTAGTGAAGGGCCCAGACCCTCACCCAGGCCCCTGCTTTAGCAGCCATGACAGGCTGCAGAAGAGACCCAGCAAGACAAAGGCCCCTGACTCAGCACATGTGCTTAGTTTCGGCTTTCTGACCTTGCAGGAGCTGCCCTAGGTCAGAAACCCTCCGTGTGGCAAAGAACCAATCAGAAGTTAGCCGATGTGCTTTATGGAGCTTTACAATAAGAGTGGCCCTGGCAGAACAGTGATGTGTAGAGCATAGCAACCGCCCTGGGAGGGCCTATAGGCCATAACAACCAGTTGACCAATCAACACAGGACTGGTCGTCCAAACCTGGAAGCTCACCAATCTTGAGACTGTTGTAGACTTCTAGACACTCCCCTTACACTGCCCAATAAGTTGCCCCTACACCTCTCTGTTTCTGGGGTCTTCATGCCAGCCTCCGTGTTGGATGGATGAAGGGCCTGAGTTAATGGGGTTAGCTCGTTAAACAATAAAAGACTCATTGCTTTTGCATTGGAACAGGTCTCTTGGTGATTTGGGGGTTCAGAGTTTGGGCACAACATTTAGTATTTGCTTTTCACTCAAGGATTTTCTAACTCAGAAGTTAGGAGGCCTGATAAGGACTCATGCAGGGGTTATCTGAGAGGAATGCGATACCCTGGGCTTCACAGACCAGGAGTCTGTCACAATCTCTGGATAGGCCTGGACCATGGTTGGGGTTAATGAGAACTGCAGTTAGCAGCTCATCTTCCTCTGATGAGAATCATTCGAAGGCTCAGCACAGCTGATCTTTAGGGTCTTGGGAACAGAGGTCAGGCAGACGTGTCAGCTGGCTAGAGAGACCTTGCTTCAGGTGGGATTAACAGAGCGTGACTGTTTGAGCTAGGGGTTTCATTGACCTCACCGTGGGCTCTAAGCATACCCTCCTCCACACTCCCAGTCTTCTTACAAGGCCTCCTTACATGAGAATGTTTTTTTGTTAAGGGCACTCCCACACATGCACACTGCTCCCTGTGCATTGTGTCCCTGCCACAGGTCTCCTCCCTGGCACTGAAGCTGAGGTAAGATAAAATGAGCTGTGAACATCCTAGGGGCAGGGATGTTGAAGCCCACAGGCCACCAGACCACAGTAGGCAGCTCACCCTGCTAGTCTGAAAGGTGAGACACGGGGAAGGCTCCTCCCCCTACACTGTCAGTCTCGGGAGAGAGGCTGCTCTTGAGAGGGTTCCTTTCCCTTGTCCTTCTCCTTCCCTGCATTGATCCAAAGGTGGGAATGCACCACTGTCCGGGGCACCACCTGCTATAGGAAGGCATCACAGAGTTGCTGAATGGCGGCTGCAGCGGTTGCTGCTGCTGCTGCTGCCACCGCTGCAACAGGGCCTGTCTGTCCTATAAAACCCACTCCGATTGTCTACTGCGTGGGCAGTAGCTGGTAAGATGAGACCCTAATTGGAAGAGAATCCTGTGACCTCCAAACCAATGAACTTATTTCTCAGGTGCTTGGAACAGCTTGGCAGAGAAAGTGCTTGTGGCTGCCCTGGGAAGTAGGTGGATTTTTTTTCCTCCCACAGAAGCTGCTTCAGTGTCTGTAGGAGGTATTGACTGTGGGTGCTGTTCAGGTCCAGAAAATTGGTCTCAGGAGGAGCAAAAGAAGCGATATTAGCAACCTGGCTCTCCCAGCAGTAGCTCTAACGAGGTAGAGCGGGGAAATGATCCTTCCAACTCTCAGGAAAGTGGTGTTGACTGTAAACAGGACGTGTAGTGGAGCCTAAATTGTGGCACTGGAACTATGTTAAGAGTCCTCTGGGGATGTTTTTTGGGTGGGGGAAAATATTATGAGTCTTGTTTGTGGGGATGGCCACTCAATCATGTACACCTGTCAAAACTCATGAAGCTCTAACTTGAGAGGCTCAGCCTTACTGCACACGAAGAACTCTGATTTTGGTTCTGATTTTTGGCAATGTTTTGCTGAGCATCCAGGCTACTCAGAAACTCAATATATAGCCCAGGATGGCTTTAAACTCATGCTCCTTCTGCCTCAGTCTACTGAATTTCGAATTTGCAGGTGTGATCAGTTATATGGAGCAAGGATTCCTAATTTTAAACCTGCACAGAAAACATACACTCTGTCCTTGGAGCCTCTGTTCTTACCCAGACCTTGGTAGTCTCATGCCCTGCTTAGAATTCCTGAGGTGTTTGGTCCTTTTTGTTGTTGTTGCTTTGTTTTTCGAGGAGGAACTGTTCATTTTGGCTCATAGTCCGAGAGAACACTGTCTATCAGATATGAAAGTGTGGTGCAGGATAGACTCACAGCTATGGCTGCAGGAGCTTGCTTGCCTCTGGATGAATGAAAAAGAGCTATAACAGGATGTCGGGTAAGTCTGTAATGCCTCTCCACGTCCTTCCCCTAAGACCTGCCTTCTAATGATCCCACAATCTCCCCAGAACAGTACCATAAGCTGGGAACCTAGTGCCTGTGGGGAACACTGCATGCCTGGTCCCATAAATTCGTGACCATCTGATAATATAAAATACTTTCAGTCCAACTTCAAACGTTCCTGTACACTTAAAATTCCAAAGTTGTTAAAAGGTCCAAAGTCTCTTCTGAGACTCAAGACAGATTCTCAGCTGTGAGCCTTTGTGAAGTAAAACAAGTTGTGTGTATATATATATACATCTAGTATATAATGGTTCAGAGCAAACAATCCCATTCCAAAAGGGAAGGATGGAGGCAACTCAGGCCTTACATTTGTAGCACGGCTTACTCCAGGGTTCCATGCAGGGAATCTGAGCCTTCTATGCGTGGCCTCAGGGGCTTTCAAGCAAGAACCTAGTGCAAGCCTCTGTGACCTCGGCATTCTTGTGTTTTGCACGCATGAACAGCTAGCACCACGAAAATGACACGGAGGAAAGCTTGAGCTGTGGCCTGTCCCCCCTTGGACAACAGCTGCTGTGTCAACTCTGTCCCTTCGATGATTAACCGAGTAAAACACTTCCCTTAGCGGCCCTGCTCAGGAAGGATGCCCAAGAGGTTCTCTTTACTCAAGTACTCCTTTGTCTTTTCATATTAAAAAAAATCCAAATGAGTCTGCATCTTTACTCCCCCAAGTTCTCTGTGGGTGGTGTTTGCCCCCAGGCACTGCTTGTACTCTGTGGGCAATTCTTCCCTCGGCAGACTGACATTTTTCATATTGTTCTGCTTCTTCTCATTGCAATTCAGACGGAGGGCAGTGACCGCAACCATGCCACTACCTGAAGGCTGCCCTGCTCAGAGTCTTCTTCACCAAACAAATTATTCCATTACTTTTGAGGGAGCCTCGCTCACAATTTCAGAACAGAGACAGGACCCTGTCAGATTCTGTGACCGAAGGTAGAGCAAATGATTTCCAGCTGCAGTCCTGAGGGTGCCCTTTCTGAAACCTCACAAACCCAGCCTCCATCGTACATGTTCCCGTCAGCATCCTGGTCTTCCCGGCTCCCACCAGAATGGTTTATCAAGCTTTGGCTCTGTCGTCCTAGGAATTCTCTAGTTTACAGCTCTGGACTTTTCTGTGTTTCTTCCCACACCAATTCTGAAGGCCTATAGTGCGGTTAGCGTGGGGGTCTCACAAAGCCCTTCCCCAGGGTTATAAAAGCAAAACAATTTCTGGGGTGAGGATGCTCATGGAGCTTCCCAATATCTGTGCATTTCAGTGACACAGCTGCCTGTCAGTCACCCATCCTTGTCTAAGTAACCTCCACCCTCAAACCACTGGTTTACTAAACTAGACTTGGGTGGCATCATTTCTTTGGCCTGTCATTGGTGCTCTAGCTGGGGGAGGATGTATTTGTTCATGTCTCCTCAGGAAGTCATACAACAGAAATGATGCTGGTGACCAGCTTCTTTTCCTTCCTTCCTTCCTTCCTTCCTTCCTTCCTTCCTTCCTTCCTTCCTTCCTTCCTTCCTTTTTTCTTATTAATATCACCCAAACCTCTAGCTCATGGGCTGTATGTACTTTTTAAAAGCAGGGCGGAGAAATAAATACCAATGGAAGATTGCGAACACAGACTTCTCTAAACTCCTGGGGGACACTGACAATCCGGATGCATGAATTGGAACCCGGCCAGTGCAGTCAGAATTGCAGGGCTTTTGACATCCCAACTCCGCGTCCTACCCATTCCTTATAACTGAAGCCATGAAAAGTCTTTCCCATCCTTCATTTCTACATCTTTGGGGACAGCGTTGGAAGA